CAAAATATGAAAATCCGTGCGTGGACGAGGAAAGAAAAAGCTTCAATGAAACATGTATTTCTCCGAGACAGAAGAGGGCCAGGAGAAAAGACTAAAAGAACGATAATTGTTTTGATCCGAGGATGGAGTAAAGATCCAATCCCTGTTCTACACGAAAATAAAATCGGACCTCTTCAGCTATCACCCTCACATGGATTACATTTTGCAATATGGAACCACTATTTTTGGTTCATTTTAGAAACAACATAATAAATGCCATTAATTTTCGTTTGTAGGTATGTGCTTTTATGGAAGAGCCAGAGATAGTGGTGCAAAATATAATCCACATATATGAAACATAAAAATTTCGTAATGTTTTAACTTCCAGCGGTCCTCGCGCTGTTTAAATGCTCTCAAATGCTCCAGCTTCCCATCATCTCTTCGATCCAAACATCGGGAACCCAGGAACCATAGGAAAATAGGTACCCAGGAAACAAGAAGTCAGCCCAAAAATTATTACACGAGTTGATGAGCATAGATTACAGAATATCAAAAAAAATTAGATTAAAAGTATAATAGCTAAAATTAAGGCAAAATAGAAGGGAGTTGTGTTATTCAACCCAATATCCTAATATTATGGTCATATTCTCACCTCTGCAATGAAAATGTAGTACCATACTTACTTTTATTTTGTTTTATTTTTCCGAGGGAGGCTATGAAAGCAATATTATAAAAACCACAAGGCGATGAATTAATCTTATGAACTAGTTTATTTGCAAAGGGTCCTTGTGATACTTAGCTTTCATTAAAATATAGAGACTCTAAAATAAGCATCCTATGATCTCTGATCTGGATGAGCGCAATTTCGAATGTCCCGCTCTTTTCATCCTTTAAATAATTTTGTTGTTGTGAACTTGGCAACAGCTAACCCGTGCAAAATGTCAACACAACAAAAGGGGTTATGTTGTGTTGATCAAATTATTGCAATAATTTTTTTTTTTTTTTTTGAGGGTTTTTTATGGGTTTACCCCCAAATCTCGCATTTCAAGACTTAGTTTTGTGTCTCCAATGATTATCTACAAATATTCAGATCTCTATTTTCAACCTATTAGACTGCAAAATGAATATCGATAGCTACTGTCGCTTGTGCGCTTTACCCAAACCTCAGCTTGTTAGAATTTTTGACGAAGAAGGTCATCGATGCAACATTGTGGCAAACATCAACAAGTGTCTCAAAATAGAGGTAACATTTTCCACTGCACACTATCCCTTATACTATGCAGCTCATTTTCATAAAGCCTTCAATGTTTAACAGCCGTACATTTAATATGTTGCAAACTGAGGCTGAACTTTGGTCTGTGACCCTGAGACTTTGGTCGACTTAACAGAGATTGGGTATCTCATACCTGGAGACTGAGTAGCTTCTAAGCAGAATCACTTCGAGACAAAGACAGCCTTGATGATGAATTATAGGTGCTGCTTCTACTGTACTAGCGTAATGCCATGGTAATGCCTTTTCACAGAATACACATTTTGTAAGACTAGTTTTTCTTGGAATCGTTAATAACTTAATATCTTGATTATTTTAAAAAGATACAGTTATGCGTTTTGTACTTCAAGCCCTTCAATCGTAAGTGTGTACACAACTCATCACATATTTTTTTCAGATTTACGAAAAGGATCCCTTGCCACGAGCAGTTTGCACGGAGTGCAGTGAAAAGTTATCATCGACTTGTACTTTTATTGATGCATCTTTCAAGGCTCAAGAAACCCTGCAGAGTATTCTTGAAGGGACAGACTTGTTGAAGCGAGAAAACTGTTACACTTCTGAAGATAGTTTAGGGGATGGCTCCAAACATTCATCTGATTCCTTAATTTTAGCTTTTGAGCAGGTAAAACTCTCCCTTGACGCTTTAAATATACTCATTGTTATTGTCATTGTTGTATAGTTGTTATTTGTCATCAGTGTTCAAATTGTATCAAATAATTTAGAAGTCATCTTGGCCAGCTTGGTCAGTATTTACCTATGGGCGGCTCGAGTTTTTTCAGGGGCCAAAATACTTTTTCCACCATTATAAACGATCAATAATGGATGTCTTTTAGAACTTAAGAATCTTTATCTAATTGATTATCCTTTTACTTATTTTTTGTCACCCAATTGAATCCTTTCTATGGGTTTTTAGTAGGTTTCAGCATCAATCAAAAAATGTTATCCAATCAAAATTGGAAAGGTATTTCAAATATTTAGGAGCTGTCTCAGGTAAACCATTACTCTATATAAAGCTGCTGTTCCCACTCACTCTGCCCCCCCTAGAGAAAAATTGGCCGAAGCGATTTCCTTTAAAATTGGTACACGCTTAGATATTGTAATGAGGAGTTGATTAAAATTATTCCCATTCAAATCCGCTGCCTCGGATGCCCGCAAGAGCGAAAAGTTATTTCTCCGTATAGTATTACATTGGAGATATGCGGTTGTTTACGCGCATCCCGCCGAACAGGTTCAATCCTGTTGCGTGACGTCACTGCCTTATAGACGAAATTTAAGGTTTTAAGAGGTATTTTTCGACGAATGTTTGTGGAAATTGGTAAGCGGGGGTATTTTTCAACGGAGATCTCGAATTTTTGGTCGGATTTTCAAAATATCAAAATCCAAGATGGCGGCCGTGGCCTAAAATGCTAAGTCGGCTCCTGTCATATCGATTTTCGTGAAACTCGGTATCCAGAGGTATTTTTCGACGAGAAACTCGAATTTTTGGTCGGATTTTCAAAATCTCAAAATCCAAGATGGCGGCCGTGGCCTGAATGCTAAGTCGGCTCCTGTTTGATCGATTTTCGTGAAACTCGGTATCCACCGGTATTTTTCGACGAGAAGCTCGAATTTTTGGTCAGATTTTCAAAATTTTCAAATCCAAGATGGCGGCCGTGGCCTAAAATGCTAAGTCGGCTCCTGTTCGCTCGATTCTCGTGAAACTCGGTATCCGGGGGTATTTTTCAACGGAAAACTCGAATTTTTGGTCAGATTTTCAAAATCTCAAAATCTAAGATGGCGGCCGTGGCCTAAAATGCTAAGCCGGCTCCTGTTATATCGATTTACGTGAAACTTGGTCTCCGGCGGTATTTTTCAACGGGGACCTCGAATTTTTGGTCGGATTTTCAAAATCTCAAAATCCAAGATGGCGGCCGTGGCCTAAAATGCTAAGTTGGCTCCTGTTGGATCGATTTTCGTGAAACTCGGTATTAGGGGGTATATTTCGACGGGAAATTAGAATTTAAGGTCCGATTTTTAAAATTCAAAAATCCAAGATGACGAACGTGATCTAAATTGTTATCTAGGCTTCCGATCCATCGATTTTTGTGAAATTCGGTATTAGGAGGTGTATTTCGACGGAAAACTCGCATTTTTGGTCGGATTTTCATTATTTCCAAATCCAAGATGGCAGCCCCGCACGAAAACGCGGTCCGGACTCCTAAAACATCAATTTCTGTAAAACTTGGTGAAAAAGAAGATTAAGATAGATGTTGTCTCCTCATCAATAATAAAAACTGTGCGGGGCGGTGGCGGCTCGCGGTGCGAGTCGCAAGTTCATCGCGAAGCGAGGAGGGGGTCCAGGGGCACTCCCCGGCTAGGCGTGACAGCTCGCAAGGCGAGCTAATCACGGCTAGTAGAGTATGCGATCATATTAGATATCACCCTTGTTGACACAGAAAAAACAATATCTCTTGACCATCAAAATCAATGTTTGGCTGTACATTTTTTTCCTTTCTTCAAAATAATTTAAAGCGTAATCATCAAGTACCTATTATGATCTCTCTCGAACGGAACATCAAGTGGTTTTTGTTTTTCAGTGTCAGAGCTCTATTTTTCCGTTTTTTCAGAAGAACGATGGTGCAGGAAAAGATCTTATTTCCATTGATGACGTGGACTCCTGTTTAATTGAAGAATATGTTGAGAATTTGAATTTGAGGAATAACTTAGCACAAGGTGATCACAATTTTCTTCAAAGTTCAGGTATGTGGACTTTCATATCTGACCTTAAATCAAAAATTCAAATAACGCAGTATTTTGCAGAGACGTTGAAATCCACCCCACTCTTTCTTGGCAGCTCCAATTCAATTTAGTGCTCGCCAGTAGGGCGATGCACTTTTATATTGAATTGCATTCATACAAACTTGTTCAAACCCAGCATTATTGTCCACTTGTAAACAATCATTGCTGAAAAGGGAGAAATAATTTTTATTTTTGCAGATGGTGCAATTGAGAGAGAGCCTTATAATTTTATCTACTTGGTCTGATGTTGTCTAAAAACACGGTTTATGTCTGAGATACAAAACAGTTAGGTCAGTTTCTGTGACCCAACCCTTTTAGTCCACCAAACCCACCAAATTAGGGCTGCAACGTACCCCAGTTTGTGTCTCAGTCTTAAACCTGCAGGTGTGAGGTGCAAAAGAGCTAGGTAACTTCAATTGACCCACCGGTTGTGTGCCCTTAACGCAAGCTCATTTTTCCAAGCATGTTAATCACCCTAAAATTTTAAAAGCTAAGATCCATCTGTTCTAAATGAACTTGCTCATTTTATTTCTAATAATTTCAGTGGGATGTCCTGAAGAAGATGTCTCTAGCAAAGAGTTTCCCAGAGCCTTTCCTTTCTTCACGAATTCTCCAATTGAGGACAGAATCGACAGCACCGGTTCCTCCTCCAACACTGAGTCTCAACATTTTCAAGAAGTCTCACAGTTCAAAGAAGGAACCCTCCATGACTGCTTTCCCAAGGGTACAATTAGGATCAATAAAAATGTCTTTGAAAAGGGTAAAGGAGAATCTTCAGAGAGCACCTTACAAGTCATCAAAGTAGAACATAAAGAAGTGAGTCTAATTTCTGTTCTCAGCTAACCTACTTCCCACTAACTTGTGGACTTCATTCTCAAGAAATAAGTATTTTGCTGTGAGTTTCTAAATTAAAAACTGAGAGGCAAAACATTCTAGTAATAAAGGCTATCAGATTTAAAGTCCTGAGTTCATCCCCCTGGAGATGACCCCCTCTCTTCGTGTCGCTCAGTTCGCTGGGAATTTATTTGTACTTTGATCGTACAACAAAATCTTTCTGATTCCTCATTGTTAGTGTTAAAATATAGAGCTTGCCTTAATTGTATTTGCGTATGAGTTGAATCAGGAAATTTCCAGTTTCGTTTTGCATTAGTTCAACTAGTTTTGCGTGAAATGTCGATTTAAAAATGTGTTTTGTGATACCTACTCTAACCCCTGTTCAGTGAACCAATTACTCAGCAGTTAGAGTTTCAGTAGGTCAGAACAGAATGTTCCACTTTGGATCAAAGTTTTAAGTGAAAAACAAAACTTTGGGGGAGTCCCCAAGCCATGGAAAGAATACTGCTCTCACTGGCTAGAACAATGCCAAAATCCAATTTTCAAACAACATAGGTACGGTCATGTCCACATGAGCACCTTTCAAGAAACTGCAGAAGAATTTGCTCTAGGAACTTTTTATAACTTACCTATAACTTGTTCCTCAAACCGACAAGTACGTGGAACTGATTTGCCTAAACTGCGCTCGTGTGAACAAGGCTTAAGATGGTCTTTGATGAGAGTTCTAAGTTTTGAAACAAGCTAAAAAATGTAAGTATTTATACTAAAAGCTCATATTTATCATTTCAGTCCCTATTTTTTCAATGACTAGTACTGTTTCTCTTGAAGTCACAAACACCTTTTACAACATCTAGACACCTTTTACAACATCTGCGGTTATCTCAGATTAGTCCTATTTTTTATACATTGGGTAAATATTAATTCTTGCAATTTTATAGTTCGATATGATGGAGCGTGAAGAAAAGTCAGGCGACTCAGGTGTTCAGCTGATGGACAATGAAGAAAAGTTTGCCGAATGCATCAGCAACGAGACTCAATCAAGTGGAAAGGAACATAATGTGAAGAAGAGTGTAGAAGCAGAAGCAATGTCATTTAATGATATTATGTGGCCTTGTGGGCAATGTGATAAGGTAAAGTTTGACCACACTCAGGTATTTTTTCAAAACTAGAAAATTAATGAGCTGCTTGAAATTTAGGTTCACTATTTTACTCAGTGAAGAGTCAGAACTATCCATCTCTGAGGAGCAGATATTATTCTAAATCAAAATAGTCATTCAAGTAAAGTGGAGTGAGTTGGCTAATGAACAAAACTTGCAATAAACTGCAAATAATAGCAGTATTACGTAGAAGTAGAATAAAAAAAATCATTGGTCACATAAATTTTGTTCACATCGATTTTTTTCTTTCCAAGAACTTGAACTCCCTTTCAACATAGACCTTTTATTACCATTCACATTTGCATGTTTCCTGCAAATACACTATTCAGTTATAAGCAGCTGATATAAATCAAATCAAAATTACTAAAATTTAAGGTTTTTCAACAAGTATAATAAATCCTCTCACTTTCTTTTTTTAAAAAAATTTGTGATTGTTTTTTTCCAACAGCTCTTTGCTAAATTTAATGATCGGCAGCTTCACTATTCTAGTAGTCATGAAGGACCTGTTATTTATGTGTGTCCCATGTGCTCTAAGAAGTTCTCCAAGTCTACAAGTTTCAATGCTCATCTAAAAAAACACAAACCTACCTTGGACTGTTCGCCTCTTCGACCTTCCCAAAATAAACTCAGGTAATGAGATGAGTGCTGACGCTTGATATCAGTGAGAGCATTTAATTTTACTCAGTGGAACTTACACTTAGTCTCATCAATTGTAGCTGAGAATTACATAGATTATGCACATTGTAAATCAAAGAATGAGGAAATTCATCTTGTTGCACAATGCACTTATTACAGGGCCTGAAAATTAATGCCACCAAGTTCTCAGTATGAGTAAAAATTAACTTATCAGCAAAAACAAGAAATATCCTTTAAGCAAAGAAAAGTAGCTTTCAAACGGTCCATAAAACATTTATCTGAATTTATAAGATGACAATGTTGCAAAATGTCTTAGGAGGTTCCCTGACACATTGAAGGAAAATTCTGCAGTAGCTAAGTCATTACATTGTAAAGCTTTCACCTTTTTTAAGTACACCAATGTATATATTACGTGTAAGATAATTCTTCAATTTTTAAGGTTTTATCATTCCTTTTTCAAGTCAAAGAAGCAGGTTTTCCAATGAAGTATTTGATAAAGACGGTTTTGAATTTACGTTCAAAACTGTTCATAATAATTTATACATTAATTTGAAATTAATGTCCATGAACCTTTGGTTGCATATTGCTGTGAGTGACTATAATCAAAAGTGTTACTCCATAAAGCAAAATTAAATAGTATGCTGCCTATTTCTGTTTTAGCTGTGATGAATGCAAAGAGAAATTCTCCAATAAGAAACTTTTACTTGCTCACATGGCAGTACATTCTGACTTAAGGTCTCACCCTTGTAAAGACTGTGGGAAAACTTTCCGTCACCAAGGGCTACTCGAGCTTCATGCAAGAAGCCATCTGCCTGCTGATCTCAAAAATAAGTTTCAGTGTGATTTATGCGATAAAAGGTAATAAAAATGTGCAACCATCGTGAATGGCATCAACCAAAATTAGGCGTTATTTCATTTCTTCTTTTTTTTTTTTTTTTTTTTTTCTTTACAAAAACAAGAAAACAAAGCAATACTCTCAATTGGAAACTTGTGAATACACTCTTTATATTTTGAGGAAAATTCAAACAAAGAACCCCGCACAGAGCATGGGGTCAGCGGCTCTCGATGAAAATCGATGAAACTTTAATAGATTGATATAAAGTTCATAACTAAGGGAAAGCCAAAAAATTAGCTCATTTTTGCGAGTAGAAACCGGATATTCGCAATTGAATCCGGACTATTTTCTATCATGCCGCAGCATGGCGAAAGAATTCCGAGTCCCCTCTCCTCTCGTTGTTTGGCGTTCTCGAACAGACCTCACGTCACTCACGTGAAGATAGGTGCTTATGCGCTCGGCCGGTCCGAATGCTGTACTCCCTCCCTACCTCTCCCCGCATCTGTCAATTTCGTTTCAGCAACTACATTTCAGATTAAACCGGCCGGCGGCGCCGGCACAGGAGAGGTGCGAGAAGCAGGGAACCCCATATCGCACAGCCTGAACGGAGCGTCCTAATGAAAGGAGTGAGTGTAAACAATGCGACATCGTAGTTACCTGGTGGGGAGAGGGGGTTTCCTGGCCGAAGTGCTCAAGCAAGGTAAGGCGACATGGAGAATTTACCTCCGCCGCACAGAAAATAGTCCAGGTTCAATCGCGAATATCTCGGCTTCTACTCGCAAAAGTGAGCTAATTTTTTGACTTTCTCTGAATTATGAACTTTATATCAATCTATTAAAGTTTCATCGACTTTCATCGAGAGCCGCTGACCCCATGCTCTGTGCGGGGTTCTTTCCAAGGTATTGTGTTGCATAGCTTTCCTGTTAAAAAAATGAATCATGAGGAGGAATTTAGCGATGTGAAATCGCAGCTAGGCTGATTTTAATTAAGTCGCTCTGAACAATAGTATAATGTCTCCACCGTTATTTATCCATTGTGCTTATGAAATCCGCTATCTATAAAGTGCACATTTAAGTGACATTATTTTTGGGTTGTTCAGAGTAATTTCAGACAATTGCAGAGTTCATATTTTCTGGTTTCAAGCTCAAATGAATTACATAACCGAGAGGAGGCTTTAGAGGATCAACCACTGGTGTAGGGTGAGGCTGGAGGTAGTGGCTCCGAAGAGATATCATAGCTAGGCTGGAGGACACTATTTATCTGTATGTGGTTTTCAACACCTTACATTGGCTGTTTGAAACGGTCTTTTTAGAAAGGCTAAAATAGACAACATTCTTGGCCAAAGGGCTGTAACTTTGCAATTTCACTTTCAATTGAAATTTATCAGGTCCAAAATTCGTATTTACTACTTGTGCCCTCTGGGTCTATTTTATCAACAGGGGATAACATTTTTAAAAAATGTCAAGTTACGCCCTTTTTTATATTACCAAGGAGCGTCAATTGCTGCACGTCCAAATTCAAGTAGACAATTTCCCCTGCGAGGTCCTTGTTACTTGTAGAGAGCATAGGTTTAAACAACATAACTGTTTGAAAAAAGTCGAAATCATGCTCTAATTTTACATTTTCTGTATGTACTATGTGTGTATTTTGTTTATTTTCCTTTTTATTTTTTATTAATTCATTTTTCGCAGGTTTTCAACAAAGCCGAACTTAATTACCCACAGGCGAATCCATCTAGGAGTGAAGAACTACACGTGTGATCAATGTGGCAAAGGTTTTATTCAGAAGGGTAACTTAGATACTCACTTGCTGACACACTCTTCAGATAAGCCTTTCTCTTGTGAAATGTGTGAAAAAAGGTGGGTAGTTTTTACTTATGTGTGAGTAGTTGTCACTTTTTTAATTTGCATTATTGCAAACTGAAACAGAGTGCTATCTATCCGAAGATTATATGCATCAGAAAATGAGAAAATGTAACTATGGTACTCTGATTTCAAAAATGTTTTCTCTTTCCAATGTAAAACTTACGAAGTGTTTGACACAAATTGTTGGAGAGGTCATTTGTGGCCTCCAATTTAATTTCACCACAATGCCAGAGTTTAAATTTTGCTACAATTTGCAAGGTATTGTTTCACTATTACTTGTGTTTTGAAAGTTTTAATGTGATATGGTCATGTCTTGAAAGTTTCGAAATGAAAATGACAAAATCATCATACAAACGAATGTCTCATCAAAAAATATTTATGTTTTTATAAAGATAGATCAATTATTTGTAAATATTTCATGATGATGGGTAAAAGAAGCTACAATAAACATCTGACCATGAAGAAATTAAACTATCGAACACCATTTTATTGTGTTGGGCCTATGCAGGGTGATTCAAAAGTCTAGTGCCACTGTCACAGATATCGAAATATCTGCAACTTGTTCTTTTCTTCAACATATAAATTTTCTATTCATATTCAGTTCAATCATTAGGGATGGCTGGATTTCGTACACTTTCCTCTTATTCAATCCTATCTCCCAGCCATCACCTAAAATTACCCATTACTTTTATTACTGAACTTGCAGCTGATAGCTCCACTGATTATAGCCAGCCAATAGCGTGTAGACTTGTTGTCTCACCACCTGTGACGTCACCAAGTCTATAAAAGCTTGAGCTGCCCATTTCTCATGGTCCTTTTACCATCTTGACCCGTAGTACTACGATATGCCATTCTCTCTCCGTAGGCATTATTCTAAGTGTGACTCTGTAATCATTTTCTAAATTCTATAATACAATCTTTTCGGCCCTCCAAGTATTTTCGTTCAATTCTTGCTCTCCCACAACTCCGTTAACTTTTCCGCCACGGTTAGGATTATTTTAGATGTTTCAGTCCGTCTAAAGCTCAACTAAACCCTTAACCGCGACATGGTGCCTTCACCCTGGTGCTATGTCCAATCCTTAACCGCGACATGGTGCCTTCACCCTGGTGCTATGTCCAATCCTTAACCGCGACAGCCACCCTGATAGCTTTTTTGCAAATTAAACTTCAAATTCACTAAAATCAGACTTAAAATAGCTTTTACGGAATAACGGTAAATTTAGGAATGCAGATGAAATGCCGTCAGTGTGTGTGTGACATCTTTCTTTCCTTTCTCCAGTTTCAAAACGATGCTGCAGTTGAGGAAACACCACTCAGTTCACACTGGTGATAAACCACATCAGTGCGATGTATGTGGTAGGATGTTCCGTGAACGTGGTACCCTGAGAGAACACTATCGAATCCACACAGGAGCCATGCCTTTTTCTTGTGAATTTTGTGGCAAGACCTTCAGGTTCAAAGGAATTCTCACTGTAAGTTGCATTCGTCACTAATATGTAGCTATTTTCTAAGCTGGCAACAATATTCAATCTAGTTCATACACTCTGCATTGGAAATAACATGAAAATTATTCTTCTTAATAGCAAAAAAATACTTTGAACTCCAAATGAGTTTTAAGACCTACACCTCCTCCATAATTCTTTATTTTTTGTTGAATAGAATCATGTAAATTTTATGATAGATTCTAACTAGATGGCCTCTATAAATGCATTATCAATATTGGGTACACATTATTTTTTATTTTATTTAAATTCCTCAATCTTGAACTTGTACTTGGGGGCAGAAGCTTCTCAACCTCACGACTGGTGAGTTGTGATCAGTCGTATGTCAAAATTTGAAGGCCAAAGAATTACGTTCCATAAATGAGAAGGCCACATGTTTGTGTGCAAATTGCGCAGCTCCTGCATATGAGGTAAGAATCGCAGGGTTTTTGTGAAACCATCGTAAAAATTGTATATTTTTTGCAGAATTGTGGCAATTTGTTCTTAGAGAGCAAAGTAAAAGTCATTTTTTGAAATGTTTGTAGATCAACAGGGTTTTAAGATGGGAAGGCTGAGAATTGATTGCATCTTTGAACTGCCATAAGTCTTTTTGAAAGAAATATTAAATATTCAACCAATTGGAATCCAAAGATTTTAGGAGACTTGTCACAATTGTTAAGCTTGATTGATATTTGCACCAGATCAGACCTAAGAAATCCCTCAGCTTGAACATTCAACCTTTTCTTCAATTTTCAGACACATAGGAGGCAACACACTGGAGAAAAACCTTACTCGTGTCAAGAGTGCCAACATCATTTCACAAATTGGCCCAACTATAACAAACACATGAAAAGACGCCACGGTGTTAATACCAGTAAAACATCTCGAGTCAAATTAGATCCATCGGTAAGTTTTTCTCACCTTTCGCATTATTTCTAATTAAATGTGACTTCTTCAAAAAAAAGAGACTTTAGTTCATAGGAGAAATCTTCTCAGCACAGCGAATTTTACCGAGTGAGATGAAAAAATCTGATTACGAGATTTTGACATGAGAATTTCTAGTTTCCTAAAGATTAAGTAGATAGCAGTTTATTTCATTTTTGTGCCCATTGAGGATGCGAAGATGCAGTATAATCCAATGAATTCATTCAAAACAGTAGAATAGTATTCTAAATAGTTTTTCCTTCAATCCACATTTTTTGAACCACATCATTTCATCTGTAGTTTGGATCTGTTAGGAATTTAATTTGTCTTAGGTCTGCAAATTTTTTGGGTGTATCACACAATTTCTTTTTATTTGCTTGAAATATCATCGGGAGTCTTTAGCTTTGATATCCTTCTAATGTGTCTGTTGCATGCAAGAAATACAGCCAAATAAATTTACTCTTCATGGATAAAATCGCACGAAAATTGCGTTGGGTACATAAAAAAGTCTAAAACCCATTACTTAGCGCGCAATCGGCGTAGTTTTTAATCTGCTTTTTCCAGTCTCTTGCATCTGGGGACAATTTTTCTCAGTCATCGCCAGCCAGGTTTGCTAAGGCAGTGGAGTAAAAAAAACTGAACCTAAGTAAACAAACAATTCCTTTAACTTCTTCTATTGTATGATCTCAATCATTTTCAAGCGTTTGTTTCCTTTTTCTGTCTTATTTTGCAGTAATGAAAGATTTAAATCAATTGAAATCTTAAAGAAGGAGAGTTTTTAACAGTTCGCAAGATGGTTTGTTTATCTAGGTTAGGTCTCTCTCAGGGCAAACCTGTCTGCCAGCCACCAAGGAAAACTGCCTGCTAATTTGAAAAAGCGTGCTTCAAAGCTGGGAGATAAATTTGTATCGTAGCTACTTTTAAGCTTAACTTTTTTTAATTTGAATTTTTAAAATTGGCAATCTATTGATTTATCATAATCAAGAAATCTGAATGTACCGGATTTGATGTACTTGAAATCAGAACTCACTTACTCCCTACCTTTCATAACAACCTTTGAATATTCTTACATATCATATAATTTTGCTCTACTGATTTTTGCTAGTATTACCTATTAATAGATATTTTGTTGTGATATTTTCAGGGTGCATCATCAGATGAACCGGCGAAAACAACATTGAGCGATTTTCTTGACTTCCAACCAGTTTTAGAGGATCAAGAACCATATGACCAGCTTCCGATTATCGATGGACTCAGTGATCAAGATATCATTCTAAGCACAGTCTACAATACAACTTCATCACTTCCCCCCAACAATGTGAACACATTCCACCCACTTGCAAGCAACAGTCCTTTGATCAACTTTTACAACTTGTCTCACCTCCCAGCACCTTCATCTCTAGACATCATGAGCTTCTCACCCAGTTTAGTTGACATAACCTCAAGCCCTCAGCATAGTTAACCAGCATAGATTCTGACAAACCTATTCGATGAGTCCAGCCTCTTTTCTTCAGATTACTACACCCACTTTCTGTTTAATCTTTGTTCATGGCAAGGGTATGAAACCCTCAATGAACTTAAATTTGGGTGAACTGATTTATCTTCTTCTTGAAGTAGCAGTAGGATCTTTTTGCAAAAAAGTCAGAGAAAATAAAAAGTCTGAATGGAGGTTTTTTCTTTTATTGTTGCTAAAACAGTGTCCGTTTTCACATACATATCAAAACAATATCATATTTAAAGTTCTTAACTGCAATGGAAACTACTTTTATCACATTTTGGTGTACAATTTTAGGAAGATCCTTCCCAGGCTTCACTATGCAGGATATCTGCTGGTTTGAAAATCAGAATTCGTCAGGGAATTTCGGCAGGTCAGGGAATTCAGAGAAAAGTCGGAGAATTGTATAAAAAGGCGGGAATCTAGAAAAATCTTGAAATTTCGAATCGCAACAAACATTAGCGCTGTCCACACAATTAAACTGAGTCTTAGTCTGATTTGGGGTTTAGTGTTTTAATATTAAATAGAGGAATTCTTTTCCATGAGGAATTGTAATTTTAGTCAATGGAATATTTAGTACCTAAAGGACAAAGGCTCACATGCTTCTGCCGTTTGCGGTGAAATTAATGCAATTGATATTTATTTTCAGGTGTACCCTTGCAAAGTTTTGGTGTGAAAATTCTGAGAATTTTGATTATTTTTGCTGGGAAAAACCTGGAAAAGTCAGGAATCGGTTTCCCATCGAGCCGGAGACACTCCGCCATGCCCTTGTTAGATCTCATTAGAAGTATATAAAAAATCTAGCTATTTAGTCTAGCTACAGTATCACTTTTTGACAATACATATCTGCAAATTGCTACAATTATTGTTTGTAATTTTTTTAATTTATATGTATGATGTATAAAGTAAATGTGCAACTTTGAACATTTTTGTAAATATTGTAATATACTTAGAAATTAAGGAAATGGAAAAAGTTCTCTACAGACTTTATGGACTAGAAAAAAAGTATTTATGATGTTCCTACATATTTGTATCAATGATTCAGTACCTAGTTCTCCGGAAAAACGTCCTTATAAAAACTCTAACGGAGAGAATATTGTCTGCTTTGTCATTTTTGTGCAATTTTAGGAGGAAATATGTGCAAATGCCATTTTAAAAGAGCAATGGTTTTTTAATAATATAGAGAGAGAAAGAAAGCCTTACGGGTATTTTTTAGGGGGAAATTTCAACTGCCCCACTGATTATCATTTTGTGAGCATCGTTTAGGAGTTGATTACCAAGCCCCTTGCCTTGTGAATCGTATTATGTGTAAAATTTGGAAGAGAAAACAAGTGACTTATACTCTGGGTAAGACCTTGTCTATTCGCCCATTTCGTACCCTCTCCTCTGTCCAGACCTCTACTGAATTTTTCTCATGATTCTAGAATCAGTACTTAAAATGTATTTTAAAATTATTGGTCTGCCATGACTGATCGGTGCTTCAACAACTAAATAACAAATCATTGCTGTAATGTATACTGGAAATAAGTCACCCAGATGTTGACCTCCAAACACCTGAAAGAAAGAGCAAATATTTAGCAGTTTATATTATATTTTAAAGGCTTGTAATCAGTTATGGTTGTTAGTAAGGCAGTACTGTTGTTGTCACTAGCTAAATTTTTCGTTTTGAAACTACCGAAGGTATACCCAGGCTCACTCATGTTGAGTCTTCAAAAGATCTGGCACCCTCTCTTCCAACTTTTGGGCTGGTGGTCCTTGAAATAGAAAACCTTATGATGACTCCCGGATTCCACAGACCTACTTTCAGATGTAACATGTATCTATGTATGTAGACCTACTTCAAGCAATAATTGCAGGTACCTAGTGGTACTTGCAATCACTAGATAAGATTTAAACAGAAGTCTACTTGTAGGGACATGGTTCAGTAGATCAGGGCAGGGAGGGGGATGACGTACTGTTGGGGGAGAAAAATTAAAAGCAAAAAATTATAGCCGACGAGGGGCTCCTATCTATTATCACTTCAAAACGTCAGTCTAATAAAATTGGAAGGTTTTAATTTTACCATCAGACTGTTGGCTGCCTTAAAAATTTCAAGTTTAGACCCATTCTGGCATAAAAATGCTCTGTCTCAAAATTTTTGGCAAGACCTAAAATTTTTTATTGATGTACTTGGAAATAACTGTGGAGTCTCATATTCAGATCTGCAACTCTTCAAAAATTAGAAAAAATTAGTAGAAAAAAAGATATCCAACTATTTGATGGAGCATAACCTGCCCTCACAAGAACTAATATTATAGTGTTTGCTATAGCGCTCTTGAAGTCACTCTTTATTGGTAGACTCATCATGAGATCCACAAGACTGGTAAACATTCTAGGATTTTAATTTTAACTAAATTGTCAATCAAGCTTAAAATAAAAGTGATTTTATAAATAAAATACTTATTCTTATGAATATCTAAATAGTTGGTTAATAAGGTGTCCAAAAATTTCCTCTTTTAGAGTGTGTGCTTTGTTTGATTGGAGGCTTCAAAATCTACCGAAATGCCTCTACTCAAATGTCTGCTGATGCTCCTATGGAGCCAAGGATAGGGTAAAAAATATTTCTCTCTCCATCTGAACATTGAAAATCTTCGCTTATAAAAGAAAACATCACTTTGCAAAGAAAAGAGTACTGTTTTCTATCAGATTTTGATATGTACACGGTTGAAACAAATTAGCCGAACAATTTTGTTTAAGTATCAAGTTCAATTTATTTTGGTCCCACCTTTCATTTCATTATCATTAATTATCAAATAGAATGGTTCTTAAAATCCAATGATATCCTATAAAAAAACATTTTTGCAAGAGGAAGTGAAGCCAAATTAATACTTGACCCATAACGTGAATGCATTGACTTACTGTTCCTTCGTAAGTCATATGAATCGGTGTCTTCATAGCAGCAACAATAGAATATATGATGGGTACATTTAGAAGATATAACCAGTATGAGAGTCGACTAAGTGCTGAGCAAATATTTTGAAAGGTCAGCATTAGTGAATCCAAGTTACCTGAAATAAAGCAAATCAATGAATGAATGATCAGAATCAAGTCAAACTTGGGGGAGGCATGAATCATTCAAGGAGGATGCTTCTGCAGAAGCAAAATACTAACAAACACATAAAATATATAAAAGAAAGAATTAAAACTACCTCGCAAAAATAAAACATTGACAGGCTATTAGGTATCCGTGCAAAAAAAATAAAGAAATGACTCAGATAGGATCACCAAAAAAATTCTAAATTTTTTTACAGATTATTTTTTCTATAGATTGTAGATTTAGATGCTACTCACAAATCATTTTGTAACTAATTTGAAAAACTGATTCTACTTTAAAATTACTAATGTCAAAATAAGTTGGGACTAATTGGACCGTGTTTAGCAGAAAGGAACCAAGCCACATCAGCTATCGCCAAATTTAACTGGACAGTTAAATTTTTTACAAGAGACCGTTTGTGAGGAATCCTTTGAAAATTGTAAAGAATTTTCTTCGCACTGTTCAGAAAATTCACTAAACTTGCACAAAAATCTGCACAACCATTTTCATGCAAAATATTAAATTGCCAATTAGATTTGGCAATAACTGATGTAGCTTGGCTCCTTTCTTCTTAATGCGGTCTCATTTGTTGTACTTAGTTCTAAATTTTAATTCTTCAGTCACTCTAGCTTCAAAAAAAGTTTTCCTAAATGAATCAGTAGATATCAGTTCTATAGAAACATTCAGTAACATTTTTACCATATACGGTTACTTAAGGTGATTCTTAATTCATTGATTCATCTTTATTTTCTCAGTTTTTTGAAGAAGAAAACCTATGTATCCTGAGTGAGAATTATGAAGAATTCATGCGTGAGAATTATGAAGAATTCAGGCGTGAGAATTATTGAGAATTCATGCAAAGTTAATGCTCACAGCATGTATTTAGGTATGTTACCAAAGCCATTGGTTATCTGAATAACAGTGAAAATCATGAGAGCAATCCCTATGAGTTGAGAGTTCAAACCAGCGTACAAAGCTCGCACAATGACGTCGTAAGCTGAGAGGGTAAGGCACCATTTGATAGCAGCAACGGAGAAAAGAATGAATATTGCCATTGAAATTCCTACCCATGAAATTACCTGAAAGGATTAAACACTTATGATGTTTGATGCTGCTTTTCGTTTTTCAGCTCTTCTAAATGCTATACTTCTTAGAAAAACCTCCACTGAGGCCTTTGCTCTAAGAAAAATCCAAGGCTTTTACTTTTTTTTAAAACGGGTTTTGTTTTGAGGGTTAAACGGGCAGGAGCGTGTTTCTTGAATCAACACAAGATTTTATTGCATGATGAAATTTTCTCTAAAAATGCCACTTGCTAGAGGGAACAACAGCCGCTATTGACCAATGTTCGGAAAAATCATTGTTTTTTTCTGAATTTTGGCGAAGGGCATGAACCAAAACTCACGATAAATGGCTGTTCCTTCTATCAATTCCAGCAATGAATGCATACTTACAATACTTACATGGCCTTAAAGATCCTGATATCTAAAGTTTAAGAGGGATTTTGGGGAGTCTTGGATCTTTCAGGATAAAAAACTCGGTTGTTGGTCGATGAAAGTGCAATTTTCAGGGCATTGCTAAATTATCAGGTTTAAAATAATCCAGCGAAACGGTCATTGAAATTTTTTCTACAAAAAAAAAAAAAAAAAAAAAAAAAAAAAAAAAAAAAAAAATTTTT